GCATAGAAACGGAGGAATCCATCGGCCCGTGACGAGTTGCGCCCGTACTCAACAATCGGCGATAGATTTCCTGCGGATAGAGAGACAGCTTAAACCGGAAACCGGTTCTTCACAGAAGGGGGGAGGGGGGCGTAAAGAGTCAATAGATCGATGCCAGACGCAATTTGACCGACTATCGTCCCAGGGGGAGGGGAGATAAAATTCGATGAATGCCCCTCCCCCTCCCCCTTCTTCTGGAGATTCGATAATGGAGAAGGAAGGAAGGAAGGAAGACGTGGATAATTCGCGCCACGCGCTTTGTCCTAGCCAAGAATTTCCTCGCGATTATTGCGAGCTTCGAGTTTCGAAGATGTTTTTCGTCGATCATATAGGTGTTTGCTCACCGGAAGTTTTATAATCCTCGATCGATTGCAAATTATCATTTCTCTAAATCGAAACGAAATTTTTCAGATTAAATATATTCTGTTAAACGGAGTTTCTATTTTCGAAAGCGGTCTGCATAATCATTCAAGCTTCTCTCGATGAATAAGAGTGATATAAGTAAGAGGCAAAGAATTTCGCGCGTTCGATCGAGGTATGAATAATTTCTCGGAGAAAAGATCGAAGGATATCCTTTTTCCAGAGATATCTCGCGATCGAGAAACACGATCCCCTTCCAGAGCTCACTTGCTGGATCGGTGGAGATGATTTAAACGGGGATGAAAATTTGACAGGGCGCGCGACCATGCGCCTGTCTTTGAATATCAGCATTCGTAACAGTACCGTATCAAGCGGGAAATTTACCCCGCTCTCGGGAATTGCACCCGATTCCTCTTTAATTTAAAATCGGCCCATTTCACACCATCCACACCCACGATTCGCAATGCTGACGCGTGACCCACTTGCCTCGATTCTTTCGCCCTATCCAGCGTCGATCCCATCTCTCCCCAAATCCAGCTATGATCGCGATTCGTCGAGATGAATGAAAGGAAATATGATTAAGTTATGAGGCGGGACTAATTTTTATTCCTAGCTCCATACATTGGCGACAAAGTGTATACGCGCGACGAGTAACGGATAAGAACGCAGAGGGTGGAAAAATGGCAGGAGAGCAATATGCTGAAAGCACGAGAGGAGGAGATGGGATTGAGGAACGTGAAATGGCCGTCGCGACTTTCAATTTTTTCCTCCCGTTCAATGTCAGAAAACTCGTCGATCGTTTCTATAAGAAAAAGAAAAAGGTGAATAAAAGTGAAATGTAAGATGAGGAGGGGAGTGCAAATACACTGACTTCTACGGATTTCGATATACCTATTCGATATATTCTTTGATATCGAAGAAGGATAAAGTTCGAGTATTAAATATTATATTATCGTGTATTAATTTAAATAGAATTATTATTATTATATTTCAAGGAAAACAATAATTTTCTTCGATTCATCTTTTTTCGAAATTTCTTTTATGTTAATGAATTATATACAAAGGGAAATAAAACGGGTATGCAAGAGAGAAGCAAAAAAAAAAAAAAAGTTTCGTGAAAAGAATTTTTATTTCAACGGTCAGGATCGTATACATCCGAATACAACGGAAACACGTGGAGATACGATAAAAATTCCTGCTCCATCGAATTTTTCTCTCCTCCTAGCTGCTGTATTTATTTTTAATTCAAACTATCGTTTTTTTCATTCTTTTTTTTTTTTTTTATTCTTTTTAAATTCTTCGTTTTCGTTTCTCGACGAATTTAAACGAAAGACGTGATAATTGACGAATTAATATTTACATCGTTACGCGCTCGCGCGCGTAGTAATTAGCGACGACCATTGACGTTGCGAGAGAAATGAAAATTTCGGTTGTGAAAAAAAAAAAAAGAAAAAAAATGTGACGCTTGAAACTCTGGCGAATTAAGATAGGAGCGAATTTTACGATATCGTTATAACGAATGTTCTCGTCGAAAAAACTGTGTTTGAACGAACTGCTGCGCATCATGCTACCCGCCGGAAAGATGGAATTGCGTGAACACGTTTGGAAAGGAGAGGAGCGAATTCAAGAGAGACTTGATATTTTTCGCTGAGTTATTGTTTAAATTATACATCTCGACAAGTCGTGCAACGAATACGTTTTGCTCTTGAGGGATGCTGACAGGTATACCTGTGTTTAATTTTTGGCGAAGTTCGAATTCATAATTCGAATAAGTTTCTTTACAAAGGTTTCTTTTTATACGCGCAATAAATACGGTCGTACGCCTTGAATAAGATAAAAAAAAATCGATATTTATCATCACTCGTCGTCGATTTACTTTTTTTCGAATTCCGAAATGAGTAATAATAATTTCAATTTTCGAAAATAACACACCACGTTTATCAACTTCTATTAATTTTTCCATTTATTATTATATATATATATATATATATATATATATATATCGCGCAATTTATGATATTACGACAGCTTAATTTAACGTTCGTACGTAAGTACATTTAGTTGAACTGTGTATTTTGCGTTGAATTATGAACTGTATAACGAGTGTTCCGCTTTCCCACCAGAGAATTAAAATGAAAACTTCATTCAATTTGTCCGTTTCAAAATTCAAAAAAGCTTTTCAAACGTTAATCATATAATATTTTTACTTTTTTACGTCGATTCGTTTAACAAAAAAAAAAAAAAAAAAAATTAATAAATAAAAATATTCATACGGTAAATAATATAAGTAATAAAAATTCGATAAAAAATGTTTTCGTAATCCATCAATTTTATATTTAAAAAAAATATTTCCTGCGATAATACAATATTTTTAATTCCTGTTTTTTTTTTTTTTTTTTTTATATATATAAAATTAAATTGACCGTATCCTTTAACGTACACTTATCATATCGATTTCATACTATTACGTGAAGATTTCGAAATCTTGATGATATTATTTGATATTGATTTATATCGCATTTATATATTCGTTCCTTATTTTGATGAGATAATATAAAACATAAGACTTTCCCGTGGATCTATTTTCCCTCCTCCACTTTCGCTCCCGTTTGCCTCCATATACATTGGATTAACAATCAGCTTTGCACTTGTTAAGCAACGAAGTGGAACAACAACTGACCGGGTTTTCAGGATTAGATCGAGTTCCTTCAAGTGCCAGAAACTATTTCACGCGTAAAATCTTTGTTGCGTTTTTTTTTTTTTTTTTAATTAAATTCCGAACGAGATTTACTTTCGATGAATCGAACGATTCTCGAATAGTATGTGAACATAAAACAAGCATAAAAGTTAGTTTATTTTCAGTGATGCAAGAAAATTTGTTTATTTGTGGGGAATAAACAACGCATAAATGGAAAATTTAACAAATAAATAAATAATGAAAAATATAATATCTACATTTGTACATTTAATTTTGTATATATACTTCAACAATTGCACGATATCAAATAATTTTATAATTTTCTCACCCCTTATTATTGAATTTATTTTGAACATGAAATCTTAATCGCCGTAATGTTAAATTCACGTCAAAATTAAATTCAATCTAAATTTAATTACGATCCATTCCGTTATTAGTCGTGTTTAATTGCTTGTTGAACGGCACACTTGTCATAAGTATGTATTTCCACGGGAATATTTTTATCCCCGCGATAAAAGACCTAAGCGCGATATAACGAGGAGGGTATCATCAGGGTCCCAGCGTCTAGGGATCACTGGAAACGCGCAAGTTATTTATACACTCTTCTTTTCACCTTATACAAGCCGCTAATTTTAAACGTTCATAAATTTCTTTCGTTTTTCATAAAGTTCTAGATACGCGAAATTACGTCCGAAATTACGGGAGGAAAGGGGAATTTTCGAACGAAGAACAAAATTCCTCGATTTATAACGCGACCTAGATACATCGAGCATTTGATATCGCTCTGTAATGTCTTGCATACATCGACCTTCTATATATTCGTATGTAACACCTAGAATATCTCACCTGTCTACATGTTACATTACGAAAATAGATCCCACTGTAATTTTCTATTACAAATCGATCCAGAGTCCAAAATTTATTCGTACATTATTAAATTAGCGTATGCGATCGTCACGCGTTTCGTAACGTTCGAATTTAAACGAATAAATAATCGAATTAATTTTTCATGGAACGATAACATTATCGCAATAACGTATAGCAATGTCAAAATAATCGTTCAAAATTTTCATAGACATAGCGCCTGATAAGTACACGACAAGTTCCCATAGGTGCATAAATCGAAAGAACGATGTGTATAGATAGGATCTACACGAGGTAAAGACGCTTCCTTTCGTCGTGCGCAGGCGGCGCTGCGATCGCAAGGAAAAGCCACTAACTAATGTAAATTCATGTTACGTTCTCGAAAATTACGAACGATATCAAGTGAGACCACACCACTGTTAGATCAACCATTGTGGGACACTTTGTCTCGTTACAACGTGGCCGTGTATCCATCAACAAATAATTTTTAACAAAAATTCCCAGCACGGTTTAACTTCCTATTTTTTTATTGGCAAACGAATTTATCCGTTTTTTTATCTCTTTTCCCAAACGCGTACGAGCGTATTTTTTTTTTGTCCTCATTTACATGCTGGATTTTCTTTATTTTTCGCGAGAATAGAAAAGAATTTTTGTCCAATTGTACTTTTATATCTACGAGAAATTAGCGCGAATACCAAAATTGCATAGTTGCTCGAGTATGTCTAGTAACCGTATTTATTCCTATATAGGATGAAACAAAAATCCCTAGAACCGCGAGTAAATAACTTTTAGAAATACGTTAAAAGAAAGTACGAACTAATTTGAGAGGGGTAGAAAAAAAAAAAAAAAATTAGGAGAACTTGAAAGCTACGATAAAAACAAGGATTTACATAACGAGGAAAGTTTCGAATGCAAAGAAATAAAATCCACTGAGTCGCGTAATTCTACCCAGTTACTTACAACGAACACGTTAAAAACTATCGTTTAAGAATGATCAAAGACCACTTTGAACCTTTGTCTGTTCATTTTTATGTTACAGCTCGCCGTTTGAACGAATATATCCGCCACTACGAACCACTCTCTTATCCCACCGAAGAGGTCCACCGAGGTCACTTGAGGGCCAAGAGGTCGGTTACCCGCGACAATTCCGTGACTCTGAAGTTTCGCTCGCACGGAAGGGACTTCCACATTCGGTTGAAGCGAGATCTGGCCACCTTTAGCAATAATTTAATTATCGAAGGGCCGTCCGGTCAAACGGAAGACCTCGATACGTCCCATATTTACCAGGGCCACTTAGTCGGTAAGTTTGATCATCATTTTCTATCCGTTCATTCTGCGATCTGAATTATACGTTACATTATACGTGAAATCACATTTTGACAGGAAAGTTTTCACATTTTTTTCCATTTTTGTCTAGAAACTGTTGTTCCACACCATGATACACTCTCGTACGCGTTTTTATTCGTAAAATTTAATAAAAATAACACGCGTAATAGTAATAATGTAACGTAGACTCGATCGAAAGGATCGTTGAACCTTCCACGAAAATTATAAAGACCCCCTTCGTGTCTAAGGTCAAGGTGTCGTAACGTTGTTATAAAGACGCCTGCGCGTAAAGGTGAAAATGTGGTAATGGGTTGAGTGACTTCGCTTACACAATACATCGTGCACGGTGTTGAGCTTTCTATAGCGTATGTAAATCACAACCACTTTGCCGTTCAAGCGTTACACTCGAAAACTTTATCCACAAGCAGAGTACCGTTTTACCGGTATAGTCACCGCGTTATATCTCTTCTCTTTAAGCCGTCTCGCGATACCCACAGGTGTGGCACGCAAAAGTGCGTGTAGATACCGGGTGAGACTTTTATTTCCACTCTAATAATTCACGATAGTTCGTGCACGAGGGGACATTTTAAATTATGGATTGGCTCGAGCCGGCTGTTGGGAACTGTTTATCTTTCACTTTTGTGCTCGCGCCCTCCCCCTCCCGCGACCTGGTTACGTCTACGTGTTTACTGGAAGGAAAAAAAAAAAAGCTCGATCTCTTATTTCGATTCTCGAAGTACAAGGGAGAAAGAAAGAAAAAAAGCATTTTAAAATATTCGTGACATTGAAGGATACTTGGCCCCGATTTTTCCCTTCCATTTTATGAATAATAAGAGAGAGAAAAATCTTGGAAAGGATTATTATTATATATTTTCGTGCAACTATAAAAATTCGATCATTTATAGATCATTTCAATAGTTATTTATTTTTTTAAAGACTAATTTTTTTATAATTGCATTATAAAAGAATGGATAAAGAAGAATTTTTATTTTAAATAAATAGAAATATAAATAGATTTTTATATTATATTACTGACCAATTTTTGTTCCTTCGTGTTTTGTGATTTATCATCGATAATACGTTATAATTAATAATATTCTCTTCTTTCAGATGTGATATTATATTTTTAAACAATTTTAATTCTACGCTACGCTATTTGAATACGTAGATATCATTTTAAAATTCAATATTTCTTGCATTTTCTCCTTTCTCTTCGCGCAAATAATATATATCGACTAAGTTTAACGCACAAAAATGTCGCAGTTAATTTAGTTCTTCGTTCCAAGAAAGGAATGAAATATCGATATTATACTATCCTTGCATGTAAGTACCGTATCATATCTAACCTGTTCAAACCTGTCATCCGAGATTTATAATCATGGAATACAATTCTCAAAGAAACTCGAAATAACATACTGTCGAGAATCGTGTGAACTATGTGCAACAACTCCCTCACGATTTATTTCCTCGCTTCCTACCACTGTAATATAAACACGCTACAATAAAATGAATATTTTAATTCCTTTCTTTAATATCATTTAAACACGAATTATCGAAATATATTTATTAATTAATTCATTAATCGATTCTTTCTAAATATCCCCCTTATTTGTTATCACTTTTCAGGTGAGCCCGGTAGTCACGTGTTCGGAAGTATCAGCGACGGTGTTTTCCACGGGAAAATCATATCGCCCCGTGGTGGCTCGTGGTACGTGGAAAAGGCGTACTATTATTTTCCCCCACACGAGATAAATGACACGTTGCATTCCGTCATCTATCATGAAAATAACGTGGACGATCCGTACGCCCATCTTCGAAAAGGTAAATCGAATCGTCTCGTTCTCCTTTCTTTTCTTTTTCTTTTTCCTCTTCGTCCAATTTCATTGTAAATAATACAGATAGTGTTACGAAAATCGGTGCGGAAGAGAGAAAAAAAATAGTCTTGGAAACTCGTCGATGTTATTAAGAAGAAAACGTGAAAGTTTGAAAACAAAAAGTGAGCAAAATATAAAATATTATCAGGAGTTTTTTTTTTTATTATTGAAAGATTCTTCGTAATGGTAATGAATTTTTTTAAAGCAATTTTTTTTTCTAAGCATTAATTAAGTTGGAAAAGTAATTAGTTAAAAAGTTACGTTTAAGCAATTACTTATTAAAACAGAATTGAATAACATTTATTCTTAGCTGTATAATCGATCCGCTTGGCCGTTTGGCATTACGATTATTTCCAATTATTCTTAACTTTTTTTTTCGTAACTTCAACCCATTAAATTTTGCCCATCATCATCCGATATATCAAGATAATTTTTCGAACGAAGCTTGGCTAGTTGCCAAGTTAGTTAAGTGGCTAAAAAAAAAAAAAAAAGAAAGTAAAACGTATGCTGTGATGTAATCGTAGAAGCACGACAAACTATAGAATTTTCCAACGGAATTAACCGTTACATCACACAGCATATAACTATAAGACTGGACGTTGTGTTATTACGATTAATGCGCTTGGAATCGCGCATTGTACTATCGCTCGTGTTAATGAAACGCTATAATTAATTTTAATTACGCGGCTGCGCGCGTTTTCACGATAGGAGGTCGAAGCAGCAGTTTTCGCGTATTAAATGCGATATAAAATGTAAATCCGTTTTAATCGTCATTGAAAACTTTTACGTACAATTTTGCGTGTTTATATAGCGCGTTTTTTGTTTACAAAATTGGTGAAGGGAAAAATTTCGTTTGTTCGAAACGAGGAAACGAGGTTTTCGAAAAAAAAAGGAAAAATCGACAATCGGGATGGCCATCGATAAAATGTTTTCCGAAAGAATCAATTTGTAATCTTATCTTATTGTACGCGACACATTCCGTAATGTTTCATCAAATACCATTCCATTCCGCAATGATAAATGACAATTCCAACAATGGAATATCGATTATTAATATTATTCCATCCATAAATAACTTTTTCGATAGATTCATAAATAACAAGAAATAAGAAGAGACGCGTGTTAAACGGCAAGTGACATTAACGACGACCTTACAAAGCCTTTAACAACATTTTAATATCCATCCACTCAACATTCTTCTCGCACTTATCACATGGTGCAAATAGACACGAGCAAATCCTACGAGACGTTCGATAACTTTTAAAAACTTCGTTTCAGAAAGATCGCAGTTCCGATCGTGAAATGATAAACGGGGGCTCGGCCCACTACGATACGGCCCTGCATACAGTTTCGCATCTACGTTACTTACCTACAAGCGTTTCGAGCGCAAAATTAAATTGCTCGTAACTCGATAAACTCGAGCCTCGGCCGAAATTTTTGCACACTAACATTTTCACGCCTGTTTCGGTGAAGTCTAGAAAGATCCAAAGATCGACACAACAACGTATATAGATATATCTCGTAACGGACAATTCGTAATATTCGTGATGGCTGCGTTGCACACTTGGAAGGACACCACCCCTTTACCGCGCGATGGTACGCGGCCTCTATCCCTTCCACCGGAGTCTAGTCAACACCACAGTTTAGTTGACTCGTTATGAGGCATCCTTAAAGGAGCATCCAACCGTGTAGCGGTTTTTAAGCGAACCGCCTTAACTATACACCGCGTAAACCGCTGCAGTATATTGAATAGAGTACAAGTGTGTTTTGTACACACGCATGCACGCATACACATACACGGTTGAAGAGTGAAATTCAAACAAATAGCGTGGCTAGAGAAGGCCGAGGTTCGAGGACTTACGGAGTTAGAGTGGCTAACGAGGGTACCGGTTGATTCAGACTGGAGGGCATTGCAGTTTCCGTTCCATTTGCTCCACGTTCCTCCATTCCATTGTGTTTTCACCTTAGTGTATATAATTTTATGTATACTTTCCTCTTTCTGGAGTTCTCAAATTCTCCATGATTTTTCTTCACTTTGAATAACAAAATACTGAAAATTATTTTCAGAATTCTAACGCTTTAGGCTCGAGAGGTGAATCTTAATTGAGTAACGAATGATTTATGCTAGATTTCATTGAGATCTTATTAATAAGATCCCGATATTAATTTGTAATAGATCTCTTAAATCTTTGTTTCTTTATTAAGAAGTGTATAAAATTATTTTTGTGTTATCTATGTTACACTTGTCACGTGTGCGCAGAATCATCTCGAGCTTTTACTTTGCCCTTCGACTGAAAAAGTCGTCTAGCGCATAGGAAAGAAGAAAGAACAGAGAATCGTAAGGAACGAAAATAAAAGAAAATAATCATACCCGAATATTTCCTACATTCGTGTAGTCGTTGTAACCGTTCATTCCAATTCATTCCAACGAAAAGATTACACGTTTCGGGAAAAGGTGTAGACGTGGGTCGATAGGGTCGATTCCATGCTCCATTCGCGATATCATTCGCGAAACGAGGAAGGTGAAACAGTTCTATTCTCTCACGGGTTTATATTTGTATTTGTACCGAGGAATAACAAGGTGGAAGATATTCGCCTGGTCGCCGAATTAGACATAGCCACACGGAGCACACACACATCGGTTCTGTATAGATGGGAACGTGTGGATTTCAACCAGCGCAACCTCCGCCATGTTTATAGCATTTGCGCAAATAACCGACGCTTAAATAAACAGTTGCCGGTATCGCGTATAATATTTATCGTGCCCTTCTCTCCTCCTCGTCCATATTGCACTCCTCGCGGACAAACTCACGTCATCTTTGCCTGTTTACGCGTTGGATATATGGGTATATGTGTATATATTATGAATTCGGAAAATTAATTTTCCATTCTGAATTTTCTACCATTCACATTTATGCGATTTTTCTATTTCTTTTTTTTTTTTTTTTGGATATTTAATTACACGTTTAAATGCCTATTCAATTAATATTACGTGGTTGTACCACGTGAAATTGCCAATTTTAGAATAAATGATCGATTAACCGTGTCTCGTTAAATTCTACTTAACTTATATTTTGTTTTAACGTATCCTCTTATATTTTCTTTGCGTAAAATAAATTCTTTTTTTGTATTGGTTTGACTGTTTTTAGAAATAAACGACTGTTTGAGAAATAAATGAATTTAAAAATATTATTCCTGTTTAAGCTGGACCATGAGCGCAGCTGAAGCATATTAAAATATTAAGTTAGATTTCGGTGAGAAGATTCGGTGGTAGTTTAAAAAATTCAGATGTGGAAATGAGAATCTTGAAAATGAGCTCCAAGCTAGATCGAAATCCATATTAAACAAAAATAAATTGGAAGCCGAAATAGAAACTAATCCAACGAACAACATTCACTTCAATGACATTTGGATGCAATGGGCTTCGCTGTTTTTAAAAAAAATGAAATATTCGACACTCGATGAGAAGTTGTAATCGCAGCATTCGAAGAATTTATTCGCGCTAAAATCATGAAGTTTTGTAAAAATGGAATACGTCAATTGGAAATCTCGTTGAGAAAACGCCATTAAAACTAATGGCTCATATTTTGATCGAATAAAGATTATAGTTTCGAAAATATATTGTTTTTAATTTCAAAAACGGCAATTTCACGTGGTACGAGCTAATATTTCATACCACACGCAATTCCATTGTATCGAGCTATTATTATGGAATAGTATCCAGTTGGATAATGAATATTGCGCGAATCACCTTCGTCATAAAACAGTATATACTAACATTACACATCAGGTATTGTAACCTCATATTTAGAGATACAGTATTCTGAAACCTGCGATTCAATTCAATCCAATATCGATACAATTACAATCGAAGAACAAAGAGATCGTTCTTATTTAAAATCTTCAATTCCATCGATCGATAACCGCGACCTTTTCTCCACTTATTCTCTCCTATTAACACCGTCGGTAATTGTTTTTACCATGCACCACAATCGTATTATTCTTATTATTTTCCATCGATCGCTCAAAGATTATTCTTCACAAGCTCAATCCTTAGCCAAGAATTTTCACCAATGTTAGTGAAACGTTCCCATTTTTACCACCTACCTCGTGTAACGGTAATCCGTATTAAATTTGTAGGTAGTATCAATAAAGTTTAGCCAATATCGTCACATCGAGACGCCAAGTCATTAAACCTCGTGGCTCACGGTTAACCCGCCGATAAAACCAGCATCGACCGCTGCAATTATCCCTGGTCTGACAATATCGGTTTGTTCTTAAACTGTTGTGCAGTAAGCGCGATACAAGAGAATTTTGGAATTATCGATCGTCGTACGAAGAGCTATTAATCCATATAGTTGTAATTATTCGAAATCGCTATTCTACGTTCCCTTATCTCTTTCTCTCTCTCGTTGAAATTAATGCAAGGTTATTTGGACACTTTAATTTCATTACACGGATTGCTATAATCTATAACTTGGATTATGGAACACTGTGGGACGGTGTTCGATCTTGCGCAGTTTGTAAAGGGGAGATTACGAATGGAAGTTTTTTGGGAGATAGAATTATGGATATTATGATTCTTCGTTGAGTCGCTCGAACATTTTATAGATATTTCCGTGTAATCGTGATCCGATTATAAATCATTCGTTCGTTTCTAAACGTTTAAATATTGGTTTTAAAATTTTTATGCACAGAGATCCAATTTACATCGCTCGGAGATATCAAAGTTTATTAATAAAATTTAAAAAATATATATGTATATATATATACATGTATATGTATATAAGTATACATGGTTTCGCATGGAATTGGATAGTTTCAGAAAGAACATATTCCGATTCTTGAAAATTTTGAAGTTTTCTTTTTTGTAAAACATAACATTCGTATATTTGTTCTACTGAAAATCGATACAAAAAAAAAAAAAATTTAAAATAATCCACTCACGTCCTAAAACTCATTAGTTTTAACTAAGAAGTTTAAATTTATCGTCGAGAAAGATAAAACGCGAATAACAATTATTCTTCGAATAACAATTCGTTCTTTACTCTACAAATTTCAATTTCCTACCATCTTGTCCCCTATTTAAATATAATAAATAAATATCCCCAATTTTTCTGAAAAATTCTGAAAAATTGTTCGTCATCGACGATAATAATAAACGATATAAAGCAGCAGTTTTCGTTCTATCGTGGGACGACATCAAAGGACGAGCCTATTATTCGAGAACGCACGATCGTTTCCAGCCGGGCAAGTTTATAACGCGTCGCAGCGGAAGTGGCGATGCGCAGTTTAATTATTCGCGTAATTTCGAAATGCGGGGAGAGAGAGAGGGAGGGAGAGGAAGAGAGAGAGAGAGAGAGAGAGAGAGAGAGAACTGTGTCTGCAAAAGCGGATGCGCCGGCATAATGCGCCTCGTAATGACAAACTTAACCGCTTCCCCTTGGGTGTCGTATCGTCCGTAACGACGATCCCATTATTTTGAGGACGTGGTCACCCGCCTACGTACGAGTGTGAAATCATACTTCCTCTTTCAGCGAAGAGCCAAGCAGAGCGAGCCTAGTGTAAACGTATGCTTGATGTTTCGTTATTTTTTTTTTTTTTTTCTCTTTCATATTCAAACTCGGATTATTTACTTACCATGAAAAAATTCATACTTCAAAAAGAGTGATTCTCAATTTTTTTTTTTTTTTTGAGTCAATTCGCTATTCGAATTTGAAATGGATTTAGATGGGGAAAATTTAAGTTACTTTCGTAAAGTTACTTCACGAAAAAGTTACTTTCGAAACTCTCTGAATAATGATAATTGGAAATAATTACGTAATATGAAACCGCCGAGATTATACGGATCGTATAGTCCTATAAATGTAATCCTCGAGCATTTTAGTAACCCGATCACTCGAAGTAACTTTATTCGAGATTTTTAACTAGTTACTTTTTCCAACCGCTCAATCGGGGTCCAACTCTGGATCGATGATAGGTCGAAGAAAATTTCATTATCATTTCTTCTTTCACGCGCGATATTATTATTATTTTAATTATTATTTTTTTTCTTTTTCTTTTTTTTTTAAAGATGAAACGCGAGATTATGGTATCGGAAAGGAAATTTGACTAGTTTCTTCTTCCACGAACGATATAACGTAGTGATATTGGTTAATTATTATTTTTTTTCTTTTTCTTTTTTTTTTAAAGTTGAAACGGGAGATTGCAGTATCAGGAAAGAAATTTAATTAGTTTCTTCTTCCACGCGCGATATGACGTAGCGATATAATTGGTTAATTATTGTTTTTTTCTTTTTTTTTTTTTTTTTAAAGGTGAAACGGGAGGTTGCGGTATCACCGATGACGTGGTGGAGTGGATGGACAGGATACAAAATTCCGCGGAACCGGACGAGGAACGTCCGGTGACCGAGAAGAAATCCGATCCGCCGCCGATGGTGAAACCGTGGAACGGTGATCAGGAGTCGCCTGGTCACAAGTATTCGAGAGAAGCTAACGAGCCTAGCCACAGGAGGACGCGGAGGGCGACCAGGCCGAAGGAGGATAAGAAGAATAACACTTGTTCCCTTTTCATTCAAACCGATCCCCTAATATGGAGACACATATCGGAACAGGTAGATATCAAAATTTTATTAGTTATTTCATCAGATAGCTCGAGTTTCGTTTCGTTTCATAATCAATTTTCATAAGAAAAAAAAAAATTGGACTAATCCAGGATGCATCGAGGATGGATCTTGATGATTTATAAAATGTAATATAAAAATGACATATTTTCTTTCTTTGTTTGCACTCGAATGATCTACTCTCAGAGCCATCACTTTGGATTCGAACAATATTTATTTACGATTATCGATTTTTTTAGAATATTACGCTTTATAAACGAAGCGTAGAATGATATTAATATCAAATAGGTAGATTTTCTTATCTCGAATTAGATCGTGGTTAAATAGCAATAAGAATATTACTTTCAAAGTTTTTGAATTTTCGTAAGCATAGAATTCGATGTGAATATGAATTTGATTTCTCGTTATTGAATTTGACGAAATTACTTCTATTCGTGAAGAAATTGAAGAATAGAGAAAAGCGATGAAGATAGAGAATGAAGCAAGAGGTATAGAAAAGGCGAAGAATAAGAATAATGAATGGTGAATGTGAGAGCGCGTTGCGTTAATAGGACTCAAGAAGGATTATAAAGTTTGCTCTCAATGAAATAAGAAGTAAAGATGAAAGATATTTTATTTACGATACTTATCCTGACAAATCGAGCATACATCAACAAATCAACGATATAGAGTTTAATATTCAACAAATTTTCTTTCTTTATACGTAAAGAATATATACGTTAATTTTCGTGTGAAATCATTTTAAGTTAACTGCGTAAAAAATTCACCAAGAACATACCGAAAATCGTATCTCGAGTTGTTGATTCGTCCGAGCGAAAAAAGGCTACCAGAACATTTACTACTACTTCTTTTCTTTAACGCGAAATTCCCTAGTAACTCGTTGCACGGTCGCCGAATGATTCTCTCGCCGTGCTCACGTTCAAACGGTTATATTCGTTGGTAATAGGAGATAGCGTAATTTCATTTCATTTTCTTTTTAGAGGTTAGACTCCCTTCACATTCCTTTCCCCGTTTGAGGAATTTATCTCCATCTTTGAATTCTTTTTTTCAATCGAAGGCTCGTTCTTTCCTTTAAAAATTTTTCCTTTAAGGAAGATCGATGTCTTATTTCATTGATTTTTTCACTTTCAGTTACATCACGACGCGGAGAAGACCAGGGAGGAGATACTGTCTCTGATCGCGCATCACGTCACCGCGGTGAATTACATTTACAGAGACACCAGATTCGACGGGAGGATCAAGCATAGAAACATTAAGTTCGAAGTGCAACGGATAAAGGTGATTTAAAAAAATTACTCGTCCTCGATTCTGATTCGCGAATTCCCGAAAAAGGAAGGAACTTTTTCTTTGGAAAAAGTTTCGAAAAAGTTTTTTGAAAAAGTTATTGGTTGATTCGACTCGACGACGTTGCGAAGAAAAAGATAAAAGTTTTAATTTCTTTTCTTTTTTTTTTTTTTTTTTTCTCTCTCCCTTTGCAAAGGACGATCATCATCGCACGAGTTAAAAGATTAGATTTTGCAAACTTTGAATCGGCGGCTGTTGACTCGTTTCGACGAATTTTACATCGTAAAGCAAAAGTTTAATTTTTTTATGCCAAGGATGATTGCATTGCACAACTTTAAAATTAGATTTCGAACTTTCGTTCAACCTCGCATTCACAAGGTAGAAGATAAAAGTTTAATTTTTTTTGTCTTTTTCTTTTCTTTTCTTTCTTTTTTTTTTTTTTTTTTTAAGAAGACTGTGTAACTCGAAAAATTAGGTCTCGCCTCTAATTAGAACACTTTGACCACCGCAGATCGACGACGACACGGCGTGCACGCCCCAACAAACGTACGGCGAGCCAAATCCTTTCTGCATGGAGAACATCGACGTCAGTAACTTTTTAAATTTGCATTCGCTCGGCAACCACGAGGATTTCTGCCTGGCGTACGTGTTCACCTACAGGTACGAAAAAAGAATGGCGTCTTTGAAATATACATACGATACTCAACATACTCGGAATACGGATTCACCACAGCTATATTATTAACAGAGATTTTACTGGCGGTACTCTTGGTCTTGCCTGGGTAGCATCCGCATCTGGCGCATCCGGTGGCATTTGCGAGAGATACAAAACGTATACGGAAACGGTTGGGGGGATGTACCAGTCTACCAAGAGATCTTTGAACACTGGGATCATCACTTTCGTCAATTACAACAGCAGAGTGCCTCCGAAAGTGTCGCAGCTGACGTTGGCTCACGAGATAGGGCACAATTTTGGATCGCCTGTAAGAATTTATTAAATAAAAACTAACTTTTCCATGGTCATTTTTTCTTATTTCTTGTCACTATCGCTTCGTTTTCGTTGCAGCACGATTTCCCACCCGAGTGTAGACCAGGTGGTCTCCACGGAAATTACATCATGTTTGCGTCGGCGACGAGCGGGGACCGGCCGAACAACAGCAAATTTTCGAAATGCAGTATTGGGAATATCAGTAACGTGCTGGACGCCATAGAAGATAAGAAGAAGAAAAATTGTTTCACTGGTGTGTTGCACGCGGTTAATATTTTTTGAAACACGTCATTGCCGGATTTTATTGTCCCATTTATTTTTGTAACAGCCTCTGCCGGAGCTTTCTGCGGTAACAAGATAGTGGAAGCTGGGGAAGAGTGCGATTGCGGGTACGACGATAATGAATGCGTGGATAAGTGTTGTTATCCGAGGCAGATATCAGATTTGGATAAAATGAAGAACGACACGGCGAAGGGTTGTACCAGAAAATCCGGAACACAATGCAGGTATGGATCAAGTTCGTGGAAATGTATACGTGTAAAATCGACTATGATGAATCTGACGTGTGTCATTTCTATTCTACAGTCCCAGCCAAGGGCCTTGTTGTTCGAGCGAGTCGTGCCAGTTCGTTCCCCTCTCCAAAAACGTTCAATGCAAGGCTGAATCGGATTGCAGTTACAATTCGACTTGTAACGGGCGATCCTCCGAGTGTCCTCCGCCGTTGCCAAGAGCCAATAAGACTAGATGTAACGAGGGAACTCAGGTAAAAAGGGAGTACTACTTTCTTTTGTACTATCATTCCATGGATCGTCTTTTATTTTTCTTTTTTCTGCTCTCTCTTTCTTGTTTCATATAATGATAATTTTGTTTCGCTTGCAGTTGTGCATCAACGGCGAGTGTACGGGATCGATTTGCCTCGAATGGAACTTGACCGAGTGCTTTTTAACCAGTAACGTAATTCCAAACATCGATAAACGTAAATTGTGCGAATTAGCCTGCCAAAATGGAACCGATCCATCGACCTGCCGTAGCACCAGCGAATTTGCGCATGTAGTCGGTCTACCCGAAGGTGGAATTAGCCTCAGACCTGGATCACCCTGCGATAATTTTCAAGTAAAGAAGCTCTAATTTAATACGTATAACGTATCATAAAAATGTATCGTTTATTTGTAACCGATTAATAATTTGATACTTTCATTTTCTTTATTTTTTTTTTTTCTTTTCGTTTAGGGGTATTGTGATGTATTTTTGAAGTGTAGAGCCGTTGACGCAGAAGGACCATTAGCCAGATTGAAAAATCTTTTATTCAATAAGGATACATTGCGTACGGTAGCACAATGGATAACCGTAAGTATTAATTTGAATGTAGAATAATAATATCGATATAATAGTAAGATCGTTTATTTTTTTTTTCAGGAATTCTGGTGGGCGGCAGTGTTAATGGGAATAGCTTTCATTATTTTCATGGGTTTGTTCATCAAGTGTTGCGCTGTTCACACTCCATCGAGTAATCCTAAGAAACCACCGGCCAGACGTATTAGCGATACTCTAAGAAGACCGATGAATACATTGAGAAGAATGGTATATAAAATAAAATAAAAGAGAAGGGAAAACGATAAAATATAAATAAAATTATTTGTTTAATTAATCGTTCGTTTAATTTAAAATAATAAATACGTTTCATAGCGACATCCACACGGAGGTGGAGCAGGTCCCAGAAGTATACCTCCCAGACAAGGTCAAGGAGGACATGGTACTAGGGGACCCTCTCACGGTTATGGAGAGGGTAGAGGTGCTCAGTATTATCCGAAAGGTAAATTCACCTAATACTTTGGTCGCTTTTTTTTAATGCAGCTATCGTTGCTCGAGTTTGATCCTGAATAAATGTTGCTCGTTAAAATATAAAAATATCGTACGTTTGTATATTAGCTGGTAAAATATGGATTAAACTCAAGCTAAGAAGCTTGCTTTTATGTATCTGTCCCTGTGTGATCTGCAACTATATCAATGTTTTTTCCTGTTTGCATCTTCCTCGCATTGATTGATGCGCATCACTACCTGATACTATCGTTCTATGACCTACAGAGGTGAGCTGGGGCCTATACACTCTATACCCTTGATAGAAGCAAATCCACGAATAGAAATTTCATTTAATATTCTTTTCCAATCGTTTCAGCCGCGACATTCTTGCATTTGCTCCTATCTCTCTTCTATAACCATTCGACGAAAGCCATCGTTAAATTTTCATTCGATCGTTAATGTCAAAGTAATATACAGTATTTTATTCCGCTTTCGCATCGTATTTTCGCATAATCATTTCAATCGTATCTTTGAGAAATAGAAATATGGCTTTTGGATGACAAATTTGATTGAGTAGAAGTATCGTTGGTTGATGATTAAAAGACTGGAGTGCATGATTAATATAGATATTACTCCACATTATTTCACCGTTCAATGTAGTCGACAGTGACTAATCTAGTACATCTCGGTACATTGGTTGTTTCATTCGCTTCGATATTTCTCTTTTTTTTTTTACAATTGAATTACTTTTCTAAATTGTAAGCAGGCTATCGCTCGGTTCCCACAGCTAGTGCGCCACCCAGTAGCAGCGCAGCACCCAACTACGCCCGGTCCAACCATCCCGAATTGTACGCAGGCGCCTATTCGGGCTCCGGGGGAGGGGGGAGGGCCTCAGCCTACGAGATGAGGCATCACAACAAGGTGTGACGATCCTAGAGAACTGCAACCAAGAACAAGGGACGGTCTCGACGTTGCACCGTAAATTGTTCTCTTGTTTAATGCCAAACTGTGAAACGAGCCGATCCACACTATACATCTCCTCTCAAGATCGATCAAATCAATGGAAGGAATATATCCACTACGATGTAATCGAATGTATTTGAAAGTATCGAAGATCGCCGATCTACGTTTTCATTTCAAGTAAACTCGCGCAAAGGGACTACTGGTTCGGAATTGTATAAATTGGTGAAGTGTATTATATATATATGATCAATGGTGATATATCGAGACTTCTCGTTTGACGTTGATTTTTTTTTTTTTTTATCGGCAAAATATATACGAGGACATCGACGTTGCGGGAAAAAAAAAAAAAAACGAAACGAATGAACAGCGTTGTGAACGTGATAGATCGTAAAACTCAAAAAAATCGTTAAAAGACTAAAAATATTATCGTACGATTTTATGTAAACTCGTCTTTTTAAATGTTTCCTGCAAATTCCTTCGTGTTGCCAATAAGTATTTTTCACGATCAAAATTGCGAAGCTTTTTTAAGACAAACTTCTTCTTAATGCCCACGAAATTCTTCGATGTAAACGTCAACCAAACCGAATCAAACCGAATTATGGAGATTTATTTCTTGTGGACAACGCTGGATTGCGGTAATATATTGAACGCAACGTATTTTTGTCGTTCGATATTAAGAACATTTATATGGCCAAGGTTGCATAGTAGTGTTTACGCCTCGATTTCTTGTGATGAAGTCGAATTGCGTGTTTTTCGCTTCGGAAAGCGCATACTTTTATACTTGGAGACTGTTGGTTAGAAGAGAAAGGGAAGTTCAAAGGGAGGACGGAGACGACAATATATATTTGGAATAAGTGTTAGGATGATAATCGTAATTTTTGAAAAGCTCCCATTGAACATACCTTGTGCCTTTTAACTCATATACGCAATTGTTATGTACGTTATTCTATGTATAGTAGGAGATTTTAAAAGATATTTTTCTTTTTTTTTTTTTTTATTTCAAAGTTCTTCCACCAAATGGATGTTCTTTTATTCAAAGTTAAGTTTCGATTATATACTTTATAATAATTAAATAAGTAAATATAATTAAGTAATGCCAAAATATTTAATACGATTTTTTTAATGCACTTATACATATATGTATATATATATATATTTATAAATATAAACATATATGTATAAGTTATAGTATATAAGCATTATTTAATTTAAATCTAAAAATCTTTAAATATTTTACATCACTTTAAAGTTTATATTTTAATTATACATCACCGCTTTCCGCAGCGAAAGAACGCGTTTACCATTACCAAACTATTGCAGGTCATTTACTTGATCTCTACCATTGTAGCATAATAATTAATGATATTAAATATTCTTATACTAATTTTTATTAGCCAATTGAAATGAGCAAAGAGATTATGAACATGAGAGAAAAAGTATGGACAAAAAAGTTTTTATAGCGATATTTCATTAATGATTATTCCAAATGTGAATAATGTGGAACAATATCGATTTTATTATATAATTATGCTGATTATCATTATTAATTATTATTATTGCTATTAATTATTATTAATTATTATTATTACTATTATTATTAATTATTATTATTATTACTATTATTATTAATTATTATTATTATTATTATTATTATTATTATTATTATTATTATTATTATTATTATTATTATTATTATTATTATTATTATTATTATTATGGCTATTACTATTATTAATTAGTTATCTATTGTAAATGATAATTTATCTCCGCTATCGCGAATGTTATAAGTTATATTTAAATATGGTTTTTTTAACTTACAATTATCAGGGGGCTGTACCGTAAACGCGCTTTAACGAAATGGCGCATAGCGGACCAAAGACGAGCCCTCCTTTCGAAATATAAAACATGTTTTTAATATACATGGGCTCAAGCAGCATATTTGTACACTGCTGCATACTCGTATATGCCACACGGAGAAATTCGCACGTGCCCAACAGCACAGAATCGTATTAAATCGTAAGCGATATATATATACACTTCCTTTTTTGAAACGCCAAAATATTATATGTGATCGACTGAATTTTTTTACTCGTCCCTCGTGTCGTACCTTCTTGCGCTAAATTTTATCCAGTTCTTTCCATGCGTTTCTTCATCCGAGGCAAGATGCAATTCATTGATGATTATCATTACGAATTAGTGATATTATAATAATGATCAATATCCGAATCTTCGGCATTCTTTTTTTTTTTTTTTTTTTTTATTTCTCTCTGATATTTTTGATAATACTCTTAGTCTTAGCGTGTTACACGTATTTCCCATTTTTTCTTGTTCAACGTGTCGTAAAAAAAAAAAAAAAAAAAAAAAAAATGTCATTATACTGTTCAACATTATGGCAGCTAGTTTACACACTACAAGGAGGCATAGATTTTATTTAGAGACGATGATCCAGAAAATTTAACAAATTTTTAAAATATCTAGTTAGTGCAAGACGCGGAAGGAATATTGAACAGGGATAAAGAAATAAAAAAAAAAAAAAAAAAAAAAAAAAAAAAAAAAAAACAAGGAGGTGTCTGCCAAATCGCAGAAAAAAATACGAGTTTGCGGATCATGTGGAAATGTACAATAGTCGCAATGTGATTATTATAAAAGTGGATCATACGAAAGCTGATATGCGAGAGACATATGTGAGAAAGCGGAAGAAGGCAAGAGAAAGCGAAGAAAAGGTTAAGAAAGAGAAATGGGCGTGAAAGAATTAAAAGAGAGAGTATTAAACTGTGTGCATACATTGATATTATATATATATATATATAAAACATAAACGATATATATATATATACATAAACGATAATTATATAACCATACGAATGGTAAAGCGAATACAAAAAAAAAAAAAATACTTGTTTTTATATCAAATCTGTATTATAGCGAAATATTATCTTGTATTTTGTAATCGGGACGGAAGTTATAAGGATGATGAACGAATGCCTGTAAGTGAGTGTAATCGAGCCCTTAGGTTTTTAAGGCGATGACTTTTAGCGACGATCCAACGTGGACCGATATGGATCGTTCGATAATAGATTATTTAAGAAGTTTTGAAGTTTCTTGCATTATAGATGCAACGGGATTCCGTTTGGTCCCATTCGTAATCGCTCGTCCGTTCGTTATACAATTTAATGTTGTATTATTTCTATATATATATATATAGGGTATGGTTCGATATAACGATGTTTCATGGTATAATGAATCCATGAGTACGATTTACTGCCATTCGTAGTAACGCAAGTAGCGAAAAAAGAGAATATCGAACAAATTTTTTAATATATTAAATAATACGTAAAATCTATTTCGTGAAAAAGGATTAACATGATTTGAATATCATTTTGATTACGTATTACGATGAAACGATAATTTATTATTTTTTGATACAAGCTTAATAAATTTTTCCTGAAGATCAGGTATATCGACTGCCATTTAATCAACAATCACGATATAGATGAGAAATTTTACTCTGTAGAAAAATCGATCGATTTTTTTTAATATTGTTCATAATTATTCTTGCTTCCATTTCACTGCCATTGAAAATTTTTTAACTGACTGAATATAAGATCAAAATAAAAAACAAAAATAGAGGCATTGTTTAGAAAAAAAAAAAAAAGAAAAGCCTAAAACGAGCGTAGAATGGGGCCAACCATTCTAGTATCTAGTTGACGAAAACGTTGCTTGCCCGTACCGAGAAGAGTATAACGATTCGAAAAGCAAAAGTACGTTTTCATTCATTCATTATTTGCCCCCGAAAAGTCTCTACTACATATGCTTAAGCTTATTTGTTTCTGCGCTGTCTGGATTAAGATTCGCATTCTACTATTATTATTCGATGATCGTGCATTTTTCTGCACTTTTTGTGATAAACATAGTTTCTGTGGCACGAGCAAATGTTGTTCGATTTAAAAGAAGATAGGAATTTTTTGCAAGAAAAAATCAACATCTTCGAAGTACCTATCTTAATCCAGACGTGCGTCACCGTGACGCAATGCACACTACTTTATCACTTGTACATAATGTTAGTAAGGAAGAAACAAAAAGAAATCGAAGATTATATTTTTTCTATCGATCCAAAAATGTGGTGACCTATCAACATCGTGCATCCAAGATTAGTTTCATCTACGTTAGATACTTCATGTCCGTTCCGATTTGATTTTTAACTAACACATAATATCATCTAGTTTCATCAAGAAATCGGTAATATTGTATGTATAAAGTGTTGCTTGGATATCACAAAAATCACCAAGTTGCCTTTATGTTTTATGTGCCGTAGTGTTTTCGTTTCGTCATTTTTAATTCATTCACAGAATTTTTAAGCTTTATGTTTGAATTTTAATCATAAGTTTTATTAAGCATGATACTGACCAATCGCCTGAACATTGCTTCAGACCACCACTCTCTCTTTTTCCCCAAATGTCTAGAACGCGGCGAGTGTTTTAAGAATATTATAAATAAAAGGAATCTGATTGTGAAACTCTTGTGTTATGTTAATGTGATTAAAAAGAAAAAAAAGGAAAAAAAGAAAAAAAACATTGTAAAGAACTAAATAAAGCATACATTTTACATTTATATGATTAATATTTTTCGCTCTTTTCCTTCTTGTTTAAATAAAATGTAAATAAATTTAAAATAAATAAACTAATGTTCTTATGTGGTCTTATTCTCTTATTTATAATAATACATAGAAACAAGAGGGTAATATATAAATACAATTTATAGATACTTTTATTTATTTTATAAACTATTGTAAAAGTTACAATTGTACATTAGAAAATGTAGCAGATAGAATAATACCTATTTTACGATAAGTGTGTATTTCGATTCATAGATAACATTTTACAATTTACCTGTAATACAAAACGTTCTTTACATACAGATGATGTATAATAGAATACTGAAAAAATGTATTACAGTAAATAGTTTATATTCTAAGCCAGGTATCAAATATGAAAGATGATATTGCTCTATACAAAATGCATTATTTCAAATAAATTAGCGTAAACGTGTCTTTTCAGGTATCTTTAAATACATTCCAAAAAGACATATTTCGAATTCAATATCCGAAGAACTCGATTTAAAGCAGCATACAAAAAATATTATTAATTATATTTCTTATAAATAGAATGTTTTGCCACTTTCATCGCTTTCTTTTTGAATAGTTAATAAAAATGCTTTTCCATGTTTAATATAATGGACGTAAAAAAAATGGCCCTGAGTGGCAAGCTAAAAATGCATATTCTTCATCGATAGTTTTATGGCTGTGAATGTTCGAGCTTGTATACATCATGATATGCATTACGTATTAGTGCATATGGAAAACAGCTTTCCAATAGATCCATCGTTAAAAATGGAGATTCTTGAACTATCTGGTCCAACAAAAGATAAACGGATTCCCTGTTTTTAATTGCCTCTTTATCTGCCTCTTGTCCTAGTCTGAGTAAGCTGGAAGATGCTAAAGCAAGAAATTCTTTCATTCGATCTTCTATATCATTTTGCCCGCATATGGTAAATAATGCACCGAAAATGTTATTTATCGCAGTAGCCATACAATGTATGTTATTAGAATGCCCTTCTAAAGATGCCCGGTAAAAAGAATTCTCATTTCGAGCCAATTTTGGAATAGAAACAGCCACGAAAACCATCAATAAACATACGAGTAAATGTTCATCTTCATCTACTTCAGATTTTTGGCTTCTTAATGCTGCGGTTAATGTTGGATCAACTTTGCACGTTAAACCTGCTGCAGACGTCATTTCTGAAACGACGCGCATGGGATCACCAGATGGTAAATGATGTCGAAAATCTAGGATTGAACTTAAAAGAAACGGTATACGTTCTTCCAAGACATCGACCAATGCAGATTGTGCTAATTGTCTGAAACTTAAAATTACACCTATAATTGTAACTCGTTGCAACACATTATCCACTTGTTGCAATTTTTTAAATTGTTCTTTCATTACTTCTGGTTTATCAAAATTCGTTCTCAATGCAATAAGAACGTCTTTGTTTCCAGCAACTAATTTTTTTAGTTGTTGTACTTGACTGGCTATGTGCCACATTAAATTTTCATTCAACATTTTCATACCATATGGTCCAATTAATTCGGCTAATGCTCTTAATTCATTAATATCAGAAAATTCCTCTGCATTAAAAGGGATTGCTCCTTCTACAGATAAACTAACAAATGCTCTTTGATTGCTGGAATAACAAATATTTCCCGCGCTAACTCGTCTTAATAAAACATCTGAATACCATTGTGTGTATAAAGCAGCAATAGTCTTATCACCATGACTATCTAATTCTTGAGTTTGTTGAAGAAGTGCATTATTAAATACACGCGTAATATCTATATGCACGTAATTTTCAACTGTTTGAAGAACATTCATATAAGATCTAACACTAACAAAGAGTTCTGATGGTTTAGCTATTTCACTAGTATCTGAATTGTACATGACCATACCAACAAGTGCTCTGGCAAATCTTGATTCTAAATGCTGATGTAGATATTCTCTTGGTGCAAAGGTATACTCCCATACATTAATAGTAGGGCAATAATTAATGGCATAACATAATTCTGTTAATGCCATATGAAGTTTGTCCATTGTTGTAAGTTCTTCTCTAGTTTTTCTATAACTTTCTATACCAGGTTTATGAATTTCATACATATTCTTCTTATTTTTATCTTTCTTCTTTCGATTTACAACCTGAGAGATTAATAATGCACAATGTTTTGGCAATAATTTGTCACTCATATTACATTGCTCATCACAGATAGTTGTAATAATATTCTTAGCTTCTTTGGCCATTTCATCCAGAAACATATTGACAACGGATAGACTTCTTTCTCGAATATGATGACGTTCTTCTGGACATAATTCATGTGTGCAACTTTGAAAGTGACTACATATTAAAGGAAATGCAACAATATATCTATTTTGGGCAGGAAATTCTAAACACATGTGAAATTGATCTTCAAATACTTTGCTATAGAAACAAAAAATTGACAAATCAGATGTTTCAACTAGCATTTCATCCAAGTTATCTACCATTTTAGTATGAAATACTACAGTATCCATAAAAGATGCTAATTCTCTATTATCAGCTAAATTCATATTACATTTTGCAATAGACATATATGCTTGCAATCTGAACCAATCTAATCTAAATGCACGAAAATCAAACAGTTCATTATCTTCCACTTGTTTCACTGTTAGACTAGCTATCTTTGAACACATATCACTAAGAATTGCTCCTTCATCTTCTGGACAAGCTGGAAGATTTTGTATCATTTGATCTAGAGCAGGTGCATCAAATCCTGATAAAAATTGTACATAATACCTCTGAAGTACTTGAGAATATTTCTTCACTAATGCTCTTAATTCTTCACAATGAAACAATAATTCTGGTAATTGACGATCCACTAAATCTTCTCCTCCTCTTCCTTTACCTTTTCCTTGTGTTGGAGGATTAACACCATGTCTCAAAAGCCATAAAACTTCATCTCTGGCATGAGAAAGTCCCATCAAAACTAAAAGTGCTTTTGGTCCCAAAAGACCAGGTTGATCGGTTAAAATCAAACCTAATTCTTTCAATGCAGTCCTTAAAAACTTCCTTCTTTCTCTATGTCTGTAACCAGCCTTTTGCACTGCTTGATTGTAACATTCTTTCACTTCAGATACCCTTTTACTATATCCTTTTATGCTTTCAAAAAATGTTTGTATGTATTGATGTATGTAAATTACTTCATCTCTGAATAAAGCCAGCACCCAACCAGATTCTAAAGCTGTGGTCCACAATTTACTGGGCTGTTCCTGATTTAAAAATGAATGACACAAAGTAAAACCTAAAATAACCCATCTTTCTATTCTATCTAAACTTAAGGTTTCACAAGACATGGTGTCTGTTGCTGCTGCTTTAAGTATTTGTCCAGGGCTTCCAACAAGACTAAGCTTTTGATCTGCTCTCCATGTATCTGCAGACAAATTTCTTTCAGGATATATAGGCCATAATGAAATGAGAGCAGTCTTTAATAATTTAGAATGAGGAACAAATTCTTCTGAAAGTTTTTTTAATGGTGCATCATAATCCATAATCATTTGGCCCAAACGAGGAAAGCTAGGATCAGATTGACTATGTACCATTTCATGGGCTGCATTAAATAACCCTAATACTGCTTTACGATCCTCTACTTGTGATAAAAGTATCATTAAACTGACATATGTAACAACAAGATCCAAATAACCTTTTGTTAAATCAAAATTTATTGTAATATCCATATGTACTCCACAAGCATCCATTGTGGTTAAAAGCTCGCAAACATTATCTTTGAAATCAAGCAAATCAACGAAGGTATAATAATATAGAGATAAAGATTTAATGATTTCATTGCGAAGATTTGTAATTGTTTGGAGACCTTTAACATCAATATTAGGAAACTTTCTAACTATTGTCTTGATAGAAGATTCTAAACTTTTATCCGAAAGGAATGCAGGTTTTGACTTTGCATCACCACATGCCTTTTTTATATTATAAATTCGAGTTAACATTCCAATACCTCTGTCATTTAAAATAGTTAACTTTTCAGCTAACTTTTGTTGACTAGGTACTATAGGTCGTGCCATGTTTCTATTGTATTAGTTTTTATAAAGTCAGCATAACTTATTTACTTCTGTACCTTTTAAATGACAGGAGACCCCACCCCTGGGGGTAATTTACTTTTACCGGATACGCCTAAAATAGAATAACTTTGTTCTCCTACAAAAAAAATATTATGTATTTGTCATATTCTCTTACAAAAAAAAGCAATGTCTAACTTTTATTGAAACGTATCTTACCTTTCCTGCATTTACATGTTTAATATGAGTCGATGACACAATAGAAAGAGATTTCTGTGTACGTCGAGTATCACATGAAGTATCATTCTTTTAGTGAACAGTGTAGCCAATAGTTTTAGTCACCAATATTTTAAATATAACGTTATCAAATTATTAATAATTTTAAAAAATTACATACATATGTCTTATAAAAAAAAAACAACTATTCTTAAAAGAACACTTTTGCATTTATCAAAACACACTATTGAAATTAAAATATTTATATAAAATATTATACAAATTAAATTTTTTGACATGAACTAGATATAAAATAGATCTATGTAACAGATATTTGAAATTTACTTCTTGAACATATATATTGCATATTTATAAGATTGTATGAAAATGAAAATTTAGTAACTTGAAAAGAGAGCAGAACAAAAACTTCGTTTGTTCTATTCTGATTACACTTATGAATATTTATAAAATGTATATTACGACATATATATGAAAATATAAAATTATACATGAAATATATGTATCACATGTAGAAATACCTCAAATATATAGCAAAAATTTATGACATATAGAAAAATTAATTTGTATATTATAAAAATCTATATAAATTATATATATATTATATTTATTCTTAACACATATAATATTTATTCTTTTCTTTATTATTTTTTTTTCTCTATTCATTTCCATTTATATAAGAAGTTATAATTTTAAAATTATAATAATTAATCTAACGTCTTTTCTTATTTCTACAATTATTTTAGATTTTATGGGTAAGTTAGACAATCAATCAAGTTTTCGAAATCAACGCCATCTCGCGTTTGGATCACTGAAGCTTCTACTTGTTATTAGCATAACAGAATAACCAAAGAGGTATTGTAAGTCATAAAGAAGGAAAGCAACATTGTGTGAGAAGGACAGAGATATTTCAAATATGTCACATGGAAAATTCATTAATTACTCGTTTTCTACACAAAATTTCTAAACTTTTGAACTTACATCTTAAAGCTAGAATACTACGTAAATTTCTTGTATCATTTTTAACATGAAATTCTATTTCATTAATTATTTATTAATAATTAATATATCATATCGTCTAATACATCGACGTCGCCATATTGAAAATTAATTAATTATTCGTTTTCTACTAAAAATTTCTACACTTTTGAGCTCGCATTTTTTAATTAAAACCACAGGCAAGTTTCTCGTATCAATTTTAACGTGAAATTCTGTTTCATTAATTATTTATTAACAATTAATATATCATATTGTCTAATACATCGACGACGCCATATTAAAAATTAATTAATTATTCATTTTCTATTAAAAATTTCTACACTTTTAAGCTCGCATTTTTAAATTAAAACCACAGGCAAATTTCTCGTATCAATTTTAATGTTAAATTCTGTTTCATTAATTAGTTATTAACAATTAACATATCATATCGTCTAATACATCAATGACGCCATATTGAAAATTAATTAATTATTCATTTTCTACTAAAAATTTCTATACTTTTAAGCTCGCATTTTTAAATTAAAACCACAGGCAAATTTCTCGTATCAATTTTAACGTTAAATTCTGTTTCATTAATTAGTTATTAACAATTAATATATCATATTGTCTAATACATCGATGACGCCATATTGAAAATTAATTAATTATTCGTTTTCTACTAAAAATTTCGATACTTTTGAGCTCGCATCTTGAAGCTAAAACTTCAGCCAAATTTCTTATATCAATTTTAACACGAAATTTTATTCTATTGATTATTTATTAATAATTAATTATATCGAATCTATGCCAATGATATGCAATAACTTTTTCGTTAATTTTTCATTATTATAGAAATTTATTTCTAAATATTATATTATATGCATTTAAAACGTTACTTTCTCTTCTATTTTCATGTGTGAATTTTATTAATTATTTTACTATGATTTAAATGAATGAATCGATTGTTTATTCTGGATTACGAAAATTTGAAACACCATGATAATCGTTAATAAATAATTAATGGCAAACAATTTCGTGTTAAAATTGATATGAGAAACTTGTCTGGAATTATAGCTTCAAGATTTCAGAAATTCTAAAATTTTTAATAGAAAACGAGAAATTAATAAATTTTCAATATAATCTTCAATGCATTAGAAGATATGATGCGTTAATTGTTAATAAATAATTAATGAAACAGAATTTCACGTTAAAACTGATATGAGAAACTTGTCTATGATTTTAGCTTAAAAATGTAAGCTCAAAAGTGTAGAAATTTTTAGTAGAAAACGAATAATCAATTAATTTTCAATATGGCGTCGTCGATATATTAGACAGTATGATATATTAATTGTTAATAAATAATTAATGAAACAGAATTTCACATTAAAAATGATACGAGAAACTTACATAGTATTCTAACTTCAAGATGCAAGTTCAAAAGTTCAGAAATTTTTTATAGGAAACGTGTAATTAATGAATTTTCCACGTAAAATATTCGAAGTAATGAAAATGTTTTCTGTCCTTTTTGCACAATATTGCTTTTCTTCTCTATCACTTCAAATACCTCCTGCATTTTCTGTTATGCTAGTAACAAGTCGAAGCTTCAGTGATCCAAACGCGAGATGGCGCTGATCTCAGAAATATTTTTATTAGTATCTAACCTATCAACAAAATATATTTTATCAATAATTAGAATAAAATTAAAAAAAGAAATGCAATAAATTAAATGTTAAATTTATTATATGTATATGTAATTGAGAAATTATTTAATTGGGAATGTATGAAGAAGAAATGATAATATATAAAAAAATGAATAACAAAAAAAAGAGAAATTATTTATATATATGTATATATGTAAGTATACAAAAATAGACATGTGTAAGATTATATATTTAAGATAAGTAGAAGTTGAATTAAATAGATCTTGTTTTTAGTTAATAATTAATTAATTGAAAATAAAGTTCAGTATTATTTTTTGAGTGTCAAACTATCTTATCATAAGACAGGATAATGTAGAATAAGAATTAAGAACTAGCGCTATCTATTGAATATTTGTGAAAAGATTATTTTAAAAAGATATCTTTATTATTAAAGAGATGGCGCTGATAGTCAATTCTTATATTATTTTTGTCCTTTTCTTACTACTTCTTTTCTTTATCTCTTTATGTTTCATTTGCGGTACTCTCAAGATAGCACTGATTTCGATATTTTTATCTTATTTTCATCTTTCTCACACTAGTTGTTTTCTTTCTCTATACTTTAGAAATTTTATGGCACCAATATTTGAATATCTTTATCTTTTTTGACTTATCTTTAATTAAAAATCTTAACAATCTTAAAAATTTATTTGTTTCAATTTTTATTTATCATAAAAATATACATTTTATACATCTATTTTTATATATTTATATCTTTTTTTTATATATTTTATATATTTGTATTCTTACATATCATAAAGATATATATATATACATATATAATATATTTTATATGTACATAAATTTTTTTTCTACATATAAGTATATATATTTCTATAAAACAGGTAATAATTAAAATATATACAATTTATATAAGATTTTTAAATTATTTTATTTACTGAACATGTTACATGATGGCAATTCTGAATGATTGATGAATTGATATCGATCGAAAACTTATGAATGAACGTGATGATAACAGCGAGAAATTTAATGCGATTATACATACATATACATATGTAATACGTGAAAAAGACGCGAAATTAAGTTATATCCTACGATAAATTTATATTAGCCTAGGATTAAAACGGCCTATATGTAATATGAGACCAGTCGGATTGTGTCGCACAAAATAAAGAAATGGTTGATCCAATTTCAATCTAGGTTTTTCCTCTGCTCTTTCAACATTTTTCGTTGTTTCCATGAGTGAAATTGTACGGTAATTTTTCGATTGATCATCGATCGGCTGAATTATTCTTTTACTGAATTGTTCCTCTATATTCGATAGCTCGCTGTGCCGAGAATTTCGTAAAGAAGGACTTGCTGGATAAATTTCCACGTGATGTCGTCCATTAGCGATATTTTCATCACCGCATGTACTGAACAAATTCATCTGGAAATAATGTTATAACATGTATATATCATGAAGTAAGGAAATAAGAAAAAATAATTGGAAATCGTTTTATGAAACGAGTAAAAATAATATAAAATGGAAAAAATTAATCACCTGCAAAACATCTGATAAAAATAGGCGATTTCCGATTCCATTGATTCCTTTAAAATCAGCATGATTTGAAAATAACTGATCGAGTCCTAACCTCTTCAAGGCAGCGGTAGCGTTTACAATGGATCGATGACTGAATTTGGGCATTTGTAATTCAAGGCCCGTTCTAGGTATAAGAACTTTGAGCAGTTTATCCCAACTTCCATCCTGAAATGCTCCTTTCATGAGCCTTTGCTCAAGGCGGTCCAAAGTATCGCCAGGTGCAGCATGACCCTGTTGACCAGGCACCAGAAACACGGTAGAAACAATCTTATCGATACCTCCAAGAGCAATTGCAGTAGCGTCTAAACTAGGTTCGTAACCCGCAAGTACGTTCGATCTCCAAACGGTGGCCGGAACAGGAATCAATTTTCTCAATCTGTGAGCGGACGAAACAGCAAAATATAATTCCCCATCTCGACCCGTCGCACTTGCTGAACTCGTATTACAATCCGTTTGAAATACATTTGCCGAGATAGCAGCAAGCGGCGATTTTAATGGAATCGAATTGCTCCTCACGAAATCTTTTATCCTGCCTCCGGTTTGTTTTCTAATCAGAAGATTGGTTCGTCGACGGGCAAGATCGCTGATAGTAGCAAAATTCACCTCAGCCACTAATCCTTCGTAAAATTGTTGCGCTTGTTCTTTATAGAACGGCAATAATCGTCTTACTTTGGCCTTATCCGCGAACAATTCACGTACAAAGGCCGCGTTCACGATACCTTGATTCCTGGCCAAACTCACTGTGTCGGTCACATTTTGAAAAGTGAGATGCGGGTTGAAAGTGGCCACATTGTCGAGTCCGAGAACCTCGTTCATTTGAT